TTCCCAGCAAATTGTTATTTGATATCCCCCGATTTCAACAAAACGACTCAATTAAATGCGATTCACCGGCCGACAGCTTGTGAGCACCTATGTGCAACAACCACGTCATTCACAGTCTTGGAGATGCAATACACACCTTGGCAAATTGCTTCCTTACATGATGAATGAATTGCACTTTAGCATTGATGCATTTTTCACACTCTTATTTGCTTTATAACTGCTTTAATAACACCGCTCTAACACTGTTGTGCATCCGATGAATAGCCATATCTGGATGGAACACAGAAAACACTTGACTTCACTTTACATAAAACTACCGCCATGGATCTAGCGGTGAGTTTAAATTTTATTGACATAAATTCACCACGACTCATTCAACTGATCTATGGTATACTCGTCAAACCTCTTAGGTTGCTGAGTTTCTTATATCAAGCAACAGGACCATCGCTCCCCGGTGTTATAATTCCACAAGACGATGCTCGATCGAAAGAAGTTATTTACTGAAGATTACAACTGGGATATCACCAATTTGGCACACATAACACAGAAATCTCATCAGAAACATACAATCGCAGTTCCTGGCAGCACACCGAATAATGAATGTAGCAATCGATAGTTGTTCTTTGAGATATCGTAATTTGCCCTCGGTGATCTTGTTGATTTTTGATCGTTGAAATGGATCGCCAACTATGTAGTATACTACTTACAAATTTGAGTAGTGCATCACAATACTAGTTTATGAAGAAGAATTTTTGCATTTTTTCCTTAATTTTGGATTCATATTAAGAATCGTTTTTGGCACTGATTTTACTTCACATAACGATAAACCAGGTAATGTGTCACATCAAACAATCATTCATGCGGCGTAAATCGTCCAGCTCGCATTCGGTGACGACATTTTTTACACCTGTTACTTCACTGCAACAATGAGATCACTTTAAGTAGCTAGAATGAGATCAGGTAAAGAATTTTGCTTTGGTTTCCCACACAGAGTTTTCCGTGTGCCTGCAAAAAATGATTCACATACAATGGCGTAACCACTTTTTAAAGCACCTACTTCCGTTAACATTGAGAGGATCAAAATCATACAGTATTGTTTCTTCGACGGTAACTTTCCGAATAATTCAAACATATTTCTGATTGTTGCAAATAACCGCCCGAAGGAAAATACAAACTTAAACCTCTGGGGTCAGTTATAAATCTCCGAAGCTCATTTGGGAGAGATGTGCAATGTGTAGGTCTTCAGTGAAAAACCGGAGGTGCTGATTCAGTCGGATGTCGTAAACAGTTGCCAATGGAGCCTGCTTATGTCTACATTGGGTTAGTCCACCTCCTTCACTAAGAAGAACTTTTCATTTAGGATGTAGACTACGAAAAAATGTAACAAAAGCTTGATTGAGTTTTCAAAACCATACGGAAAGGAAACACAAGTTGTGTAGCAAACAATGATGGTTTAATTCTCCAAGCTCAAACTAAATATCTATTGAAAATGATTAAATCAAAAACGGTATCATTTGCTAGTCGTCCTTATTCTGAGGGAGGCTCTTCCAACAGTTTTAGCAGCTTGCCCAGATCGATACCTCCGTCCTCGTCTCTTTCGACAGTGGCGAGTGCTTTGGAAATGGCATTTCGCATTTCTTCAGTTTCCACTTGATCAAATAGCTGTGCTTCGGTTATTTTGTTGTCACCGTTTAAATCCACATTCTTGATGACTTTGGAGATAAATTCGAGTAGGCTGTGATGAACAAATAGAAAAGAAAGTAAACAAACAGTTACCGAACAGGAGTAGTCAGGTTAATTAATTAGCGGGTTTTTTCATCCCAATGTTGAAACTGCAAACCAGTTGCATGCACATTAGCGAATTAAGAAATCAGGTTCGTCATGGGCACTTAAAATGAGCTCAGCTTGTAGCATTTTCTGACGAATAAACTCACGGAGACTACCCAAGCTGTTGTCTTTAACCCATCAGATACAAAATATGGGACCGCCCATAGTTATGCTCTAATCCGTTGATGAAACCGTTCTCTCGTTGTCACTTCTTATCAAACCGGAATGCCTAAATCGGTGTGTGCACATCACTACGATGTAATCTGTGTGTTGACCATAATGAATCACCACCCACCTCAAACTAGGTCCCATTCCTCTCCATCTTGCATATGACCATTAACCTTGTATGCATTACGAGCTTGACAGGGATCAGTGAAATTCGCTTCACTATATTTTGCTGAACGGTGCTGTCTGGGTTCATACAAGGTCCGACACAATGGATGATTTTGGCGAGATTTTAATTTACAATCCCCGCATCACTGAGACAATTAAAATAATTACCTAATTAGTGCCTATCCGCTGCTAAATATTCGACAAAACACTAGTGTCCCAGAAGCGTTTATTACAGAAAGTTCAATTCAAGTAACGGGTTTGTGCCACTAGGTGGTTGCATAATCAGCAGCCGCATGAATACTATGAATTGAATGCGCAGTAGTAGCATACAGGAATATTTTCTGACAAGGACGACCACGCCAAAAGTCAATACCAACAAGGTTACCCCAATAATAATTACAATAATAATAATTTTATGTTTAATTAAATCACGAAGAGTAATGGACGGGTAAATCCTGGCCTTTTTAAGAAAAGATGAAACATTGGCAAACCTCAATGCGTCCACTGAGAAGTTTATGATGTGAGACGCTAAATGAAGCAGAAACGCACGGAATAATGTACGACAACAGCCACGACAAAAGTCTCTGAGCTTGAGGGTGCTGCCCAGTGAAATGCTCTGCAACCTAGTCATGAACGGCGCAGTCACATACTGGGAGAAACTTTAAAGATGTAAAGGGGAATCTTCGGCCTTTATCATTCAGGAAAACAGCCGAAGATCCGTTCAGCCGCAGTGACGAAACTTACAGATCAGAATAAACTGTCTTCTAAAGTGTTTAAAGCCGGTTAAAGCCGTGGCACGAAACATAAATATAAAGCATAACAATGTACACCTGCTGAAACGCGTTCCGCATTGCGCATTGCGAGCACTAAGATAACTGAAAATAGAAGCCTACCGAAAGAAAACATGAGACTGGCACCTTGTATTTTCCAAATGAAACATGGGATTAGATAGTGTCAAGAAAATTTCCTTCCTTAATTTTTTTAATAACGTATGAATAGTTTTCTGCCATTATCAACATATAAAATGTCAGTGAAGCCTAAAATATCGAACTGCCGTGTGGTAAGCTGTGTAACTCCATGTATGTGCATATTTATTAAAAAACAAATACAACCATAAAACGCTTGATAAAAGTTATGTTGTGACAATAATGACGGGTTCAATCAGGCACACAATATGTACCCTCCGTCGAATCCAGTCTTGTCTATATCAGATTCTGAGCGGTTCTTGACTTACTAAACTCAGCGAACTTTCCAGTGAGCATCCCTTCAGAAAATTACAACTCGCTCTTACAAAGTAAGTGAAGTTCTGTCCTGTCTTTATCCGCAATTCTGGTGTAATCTTACTAGCTTACTGAGTTCTTCTTTGGTAACATCGTTGCCCTGATTTTTGGTGATTTATTTACACTGCAACCCATTGGCCTGATGCTTGTGTTAACACCAAATACAACCGAGTGTACGCAAGCACAGTTCTGTGGAACGTGTTAGTCTGTGAATCCCCGAAATGTGCTCGAGTAGTAGTTACATTCGTCGGACCGAACGTTAAATTCGCAACAAATTAACCTCGAAATATTTTGCTCGTAGATGTTTACAGAAATATTGCAATTGAAGGGGCCAAACTGACTGAGGATTTATGAAATTGAGCGAGTATGATAACATCTTGTGGCAAGTAAAATAATTGTTCGCCCTGAAAAACAGAGACGACTTACCTCATGAATGAAAGGATTTGCGAGCGGAATTTGAGCTGCATAGGATTGAGTGGAGGAAGTGATTATTCACATGTGCCCAGTTTGGGCCATTCATATAACCCGTACACACGGTGAATGTGAACATGCATATCATCTACTGAATTGTCGAGATCAGTAATCTCAGATGTTAAAAACCTTCCGAATCTTTTAAATTTGAAAATACGGATACTCATTTATTGAATAATAATCTATAAGAGAATGGGTGGAAATAACCAAAATCTTTCATAACTTTGAGAAAAATTTGTATTTAGAATTTGATTAAAGATAAACCACAATTCCTCGGCACATGATTGAAATAGAGGTTGACAATCTTTACGTTGTTATGAAGCACTTTGTAATCAATCAATAAACGATTACACCTGTGAATAAAACAATAAGCCATAATTTTAGACTTTGTATGATAATGAATTCAAAATCCTGAAAGCGATACCTGTTACCATACCTTTACCTTCATCATATTAATGGGGAATTACGGATGCAACTAACAAAAGTAAATAGCTACAATTGGTTTTACACTAGCGGTCAATTCTATGAAGCTCATGGGAATCCCAGTGAAACAACTATGACCGACTGAACTGTTTACTTTTAAAATGAAATTGACAATAACAAGTCTCTGCCTTGTTGTCCATCTTTCTATCTATCCATCTAACGTTAGACAATCAATGGTGTACTCACCAACAACAAAAGCGTCAAACAGGTATGGCGAACTTGGTTTCGTCTACCTGGATGAATATTTGGTATTTATATGATGAACATTCGATATTGCGTGATAATAACTACGTGTGATTAGGAGTCGGTTAGTTTAACTATTTCGACCTCATTTTGTGTAGGTGAGGAAATCCATGGCCGAGAAGAGGACAATTGGAACTATGCATTAGGTTGTGCACCATAAAAGTACATCAGGACTTGATTTTAAGATATCAATTTCTTATCTGCTCATCTTCTCACACATTTTGGATAAACAGGTGACCATAAACTCCACATAAGGCACACACGTGTGTGAGTACCTTAAACTGTGGTTCTACATTTCTAATAGAAAACGATCAGCCGCACCTTTACAATGCACAATTTCAGCTCATCTGTATATAGTGAAACGAAGGGGCTTCTAATTCCATGAGCACATTTGTATTTATCACTGAAGAGGGTAGCTAGCACCTGAACTAAAAATGACAAAATTTTCTATCCATACAGTGCACCACTAGACCGTCAAATTCCTTGTGCACTGCACTTACGGGTTTGACACTATCTGGACGGGACAAGGGAACAAACCAGATACGCGTATACGCATGTTACCCAAGAATACAAACAAGCGTGATATAAAAATTCAATGCCATGGATTCCATACTACATAGATTTGTGATTTAGATTAACCAAACCATCAGCCTGAAATTATTGGATTTTCCAAATAGTATGGGGGGTCGGTCTTCTTTCAGTGGGTATCATGAACATATTAATATGTTTGAGCAAGAGAGAATAAATTGAATTCGCCCATAGTTGTGGCTATCAATTTGTATGCAACAGACAAAATGTTCAACCAAATTACGGGAGCTGTGTGCCCGGAAAAATTAGCCTAGGAGCCTATAACCAAAGCATTGTGAACATATTCAAATCCTGGTGTGATTTTTGAACGCTAAAAGCAAACTCAGAATAATTTTACAAATCTCCCACGCAATTTTGACTGCAGCTTTCTTCCATCTTAAAACTATGCAGACGAGATAATTGTTATTCAGTGGATTGAGATCATTCATTTTACGCCACCAGTTTGAAATTTATCAGTTAAAAACAGTCATTTTGCTCTACTTCCAACTGAGCACACCGCGATCACTATGATTGTGTTTTCAGAATACACAATGTAGGTAACTATATGTTCTGGATTAATTTGTTACCAATTTGGTGCATTAAACTGAAACTAAATTAGGTAGATTTAAATACGATGGAAATGTTGCAGATAACCGGCAAAGAACCCTGGACAGCTGTTTAGTCCTGCTTGTGACTCGTCAACTGTCGTGCGTTTTGTGTTTCTGTTGGAACTCGAACCGCGAAAGAGTAATCTTTAATATAATGAAACAGAGCTTTAGAAAATTCAATGGATTCTTGAAATGTCGACGAATGGCAATTGCAAGCTTTGTATTTTGTTTGTGATTTGCATTTGGTGCCTGGGTATTTCACATGTTTCATGTGCGGTTATCTACGTCAAATTTAGTTTTACGGCTGATACTTGCAGTTAAACAGAGCATGGCGAATACAACTGAGTGCAAACGGTGACGAAATACCTTTTCTGGTAATTTGCACCTTAAGGGCCACTTGGAACGCTGAACATCTCGTTATTGCCTCTCGGGATTCATCCGCACAGAATATAGTCCCAGTGCCCACTACCGCACTCTCAAAGTAAGCCTGCTAGTTTTAGCCAAAATGTCAGTCGTGCAATGGCCAGACTGTGGACTGCAAAGTATTGAACATCGGGGTGAGAGCACAGTACCTATAAAAGTGTTAAAGATCGCTCTGTTTAACTTAGCAATCCCCCCATTAGGGCTCTCTTCATACAGCTGAATGACTCTAATCGGCGAAAGAACACGTTGTGTTTAAGTGCGTCGACATGTTAACGAACCTGAAAATAATAAAAACCCAAGCAATCCACATTGAAACAACCATGTGGAGTCGTTCAAAGATTTTGTGATTACTCATGCAATTTAAGATTAAAGTATTTGAGATAAACCTGTTCAGTTCATGTACACACCGACGGAGATCTTGAAAAGCATTGATATGCGAGCACAGTCAATCAAGCGTGACTTCTTGATTAAGTTTTCAAGGTCACTGGTTCATAATGTCTTTTTACTAGAGGATAACTACATATCACTTGTAAAGGTCGCCTCTTTTGAAACTTTTGATTTGGATGAAAATGAAACGGACAATTTAAAAGATGATACAATTACTTAACCAAATGCCACAAACCTTTTACGAATTGCCCAGTTTGATTTATGAAGTATGCTTGTACACTGAGGAGAAAGCTTTGGTTGTGAACACGTGATGATTCAATCTTTATTTGGGGGTTGGAAATATTGGTGTGGCTTATGTGAAATGAAAACCATTAGACTTTGAATTCGATAGGACACTGGTAAAGCCGTTACAAAAAAAACAGAAACGTTAGCAACAGTGTATTTCACCGTATTTTGCTATCTTTACTTGAAGAGAGCACAACAAAGCTAAGTTGCACGACTTACGTCAAGGTGGATTTCGCTGCATCTCAAACAGCACAACACGCAGAGAACTACCGTTTATATCGTTGATCAGTACATCAGTTTACACTCGAATATGTCAGGGCCAAATAATGCTTTTATCACTGTCTAGGCCGTAATGGTGTGATTGATAGTAACACGCACTTATAATGCTGACAACTCAATCCTCCTGGACACAACCGCACGCATCACCACACGACCCGCAAAGCAACCCTTGCCACTGTCTGCCAATTCATAGGTCACTTACCAGTTTCAATGTGAATGCGGAGCACCTTACATTAGCTAAACAGATAAGCAGATAGGCAAGATGGATCCAGGAGCACATCCCATGTTGGGTTAGGTGTGGAGTGATCGAATTACATGATCAAAGCTCATTGTCGAATGTAACCCTTCGAACCCACGCACGCGTCACCCACCACTAACGCTCTCAATAACATTACACCAGTACCAACCCACACACACAAGGACACCGAATACAGAAACAGCCCGCGTCATCCGTCGGTCGACCTGTGTTGATGACGAATTATGCTCCGGAACCGACAAGCAGATTCAAGATCCTGTTTGCTAACACAAACCCCTCGTTACTTAGGTTTGTGGAGTCAGTTGCAATCAGAGAATGGAAATCTGGTTTGTGTGTGCACAAAGAAATGCCAGTCACGCTGTTACAGCCTTGGCAATCGTAAAAGCGTGATGATTCGACACATTCATATTTGTGTGTGTAACCTGATGCACAGTCCAACGATATAAACTTTAGTTCTCTACTGTATTATACCAGTTGAGATGCAGTGAAATGTGCCTTGACATAAATGGTGCAAACTAGCTTTGTTATGCTTTTCCCCTATGTTCATTTCAGGATATAAATGTTTTATGCATTACTGAAATCCATTCGGACATTATAGACGTGTCTGTTGGACGCTGTTATTCAGCAGTGTTGACATCCAATGCCAGCTCAGAAGGAAAAGCGCTGGCATTCAAGGGGTTACGATACTCTTTATGCGGGTGGCCCCGAAGAAACAATGCAGAATACGACCACTAGTGTCAGTCTATCCCATTTCCTTAGGAACGCTTCAACTTACGGTAGCACGCTTTCTAAGGCGAAATGATGGAAACAAGAGTGACGCTGGATGTGACCTGTGCAATGGATATTCGGTTTGACGAGCTCGTTTTGCTGGACTATAGATCTAAATTTTGTGAGCGAACTTGCGAAGCAAGATTTATAGGTATGGTAAATCATTCCTAACTGCTTCCACGACACAAAAGGACATTGCGTTGAGCTTTCTTTTCGTCAATCAACACACAAATGAAATAATAGAATGCCGTAAAAGCTAGTGTCTATGCACTTTTCCCGGAAAAAGACTAATGGCTGGGTGCGTTTGTTTTGACACTTCTTATTGTGTCACCCTACCGCAATAAAAATGTGATAAAAGCAACAGGTGACCTGTCAATTGTTGTACTTAGATTTATCATCTATTTACTATAAATATTAGTTTTTTCTGTTTAAACAAAAGCGCGTATTTGAGTTACCGACTGACTGAAGTGAAATCGGTGAGTGTTTTAAAGGGAGACTCATTTTGCCCATTTCTACTGATTATCACTCCGAAAACCAGTTATACTCAAGTCAATATGACTTTATTCACATCTAAGACGATATAAAACATGGTTAAATCTAAGAAGTGTATGTTAAATTTTGTTGTTTGTCGAGGAAGACCGATTTTTGCGTGAACTTCAGTGTGCTCTGAAATAGATTAGTCCGTGTTTCATACTTTTTTCAACCCTGTATATGAAATCGTTTTTTGCTCGGCTCAAGGTTAGCTTTTATTAATTACGTTTGTTTGAGTTATGGTCTGTACCATGATTTCTACCGATACTGTGTAAGCTCAGGCCTTTCCAGATGTTTAATTGGCCAAACGATTCTCATTTGTTTCCAGCTCACATCGCACTTGACATTCTTCAATCATGAGGCAAGTTCCAATCTGCATTTTCTTTCTTCTGTGAACGCTTGTAGTGATGCAATCGCCTTGAACCGTTTTTGTTTTGAATCTTGTGATTATTTAGTCTGTTGACCTTGGTCAATTTCAATTTTTGGGTGGTTGTGCTAAGAATAGCTCAATGTTCATTCTTATATTGCACAATAATAATGAACTTAGTTGACTGAGTGACGGTTGGAGAGTAATTAACTCTCATTTCTAATAGAATACCATTTGAAAGTGCGCTGGTCTCCGCTGAAGTATTCGGTTCCAATGACATTCATGATAACATAGCTGTATACGCTTTATTAATTAGATAAGTGGGTGAAAAATGATCAAATCAATTTATCCTTGTCTGGTGTGGAAGTTAAACTGGAGTAAACCACTGTTCCCGGGTGCATTTTTCATATCTTTTAGCATCAGCTTTCTGCATTGTTTATCACAGCACAGGCTTGCAAATTATGGGTAAATTTATTTTGTCACAAAGGTGTTTTTTTATCTAAATGATCGAAAAGCCTTGGATTCTTTTCTGATATGAATCAGCTATTAGTTCAACTATGAACTGCTACTGGATTATATATTTCAACTTGCATCAATAGTGCACAACGGTTTAATCGGCTTTTCTCCAGCCCTTTACGCATACTTAACAGACATGGAAGGTTCTTTTCCACCAATGTTTTAGCCGTTGATTTATTAAAAACAGCTGTTTTACACATTCAAACGTTTTAGGTATGTTTTCAATTCACGTGACTTTAAGTTGGGTGCGAATTCGGTACAGATCAGAGACCGGGATGAATTTCTACGCCCATTTAAATTGCTTCTTATTTCACCGTTTCATCACCGAAGTTTTCTTCCGTTCTATACCCGTTCAACATAAGTAGTTGGCGTATTATTTTATTGCCTGCAATGAATGTTCTCCTCTCACTTGTTACTAATCTTATATATATATATATGTAAGTTTTCCCCTGTATCTCATCGAGAATGCCAACTGTTCCCCTTGTCGGGTACTTAACAACTTTTCACTATGTAGAACTTTTAACCACCGGGAGACTTTATTCTTCTTCCTGCTCTATCACTCTAAAAGAACTGAGCAAAGATTTTCATATATCTGCTTATTTACGGTATATATATATATATTGTGGGCATTCATGCAATCTATGCATGGCGTTTGTTGTCATATTGACTAAAAAGGTACTGCGTGAAATGAACCCAGATCCTCGTGGATACCTGGATCACCTAGACCACCTAGAACTATTGAAGAGAAAGAGTTGCTTGGTGCTGTTTTGATCCTCCCGAGACAGAGGAAGCAAACAAGAGGAGCTAACCGCCAACAAGAGCACAGTGAGGGGGAAGGGATGTTCTTTGTCAGCAACGTGTTGTATTTTTTCTCACGTGGATGGCGTGGTCGCCAGACATGAGAAAGTTTACTAATGACACTGGTTGTACGCCCACTTTGATCGATAGATAGCAGCACGGTTATACTAATGCGAAGTGTAACCAACATCCACAAACAACATTGAGAATGTGCAATAAATAGAGCTAAGTTTTTAAATTTTATCCGTTTGTTTATTGGTTACAAATTGAGTGAGTCAAATCACTGATTTCATGATTTCAACTTGACCAATGACTTGACCCCTCACGGAAAGCCTCTAGCTTCTGGACTTAATTCTTCAATTATATTTAAGTTAAATGTCTTTTTTCCATCCTTATTTGCAGCTTGCAAGAAATAGTCACCAAGGTTATGGAGGCTGTGGATGCGGACGGAGATGGAAAAATTTCAAAGGAAGAATTTCTGAAGTGCTGCAAGACAGAGCAGGAGAGGAAGGAGCTGTTGGCATTGTTCGAAAAGTTTGACAGTGACGGCAGCGAAACAATAGACGCCAAAGAATTGCTGAAGATGGTAGAAGCTGAGCGGGCCAAATAAATTATGGGTTTATTTGACTGAATCCTTCGATTTTCCTTTTACCAGTCATGCATGAATACACTTTTGTCAATACACAATGCTGTTTTTTGCATGGAAGAGCATAGATGTTTGGCCAAAGGAAACGTTATGAAATCTTGTGAAATAGCTTATTTCTCTTTGTGTAATAAGAAGGCCGGTCAAAACGCATAAATCACTGGCTTTACTATGTGGTATTTTACTCATTGCAGCTTTAGATTTTGTTCCTTGGTTATTCATATCGCCAACAGTTCTGTAGGGGGACAAAATAAATGATAGACTAGC